TCTATGAATCTATAAGAATATGGAGAAAGTAAATTCTTACCTGCCCCTGCCTCACAAGTCTATATCAACCCTTCATTTTACAAACTCACATTTTTATCTCAGTTGGGGATTTTGCTTAGTATTCAATTTCAATCATAAAGTGACATTAGTTTTTTTAATGATGGTTTACATTAACCATACATTTATAACATTTTAAAGCATAGATGGTTAGCAAACGGTAATGCATACCACTGAAAAATATATAGAGAAAGGAAAATAATTCCCTGGAACTGAGATGGTCTTTAATATTTTACGGATGACATTTCTACCAGCTTCCTCAGATCCCTGATATTGATAGGAAGCGAGAACTTTGCGAGGTTTTCAACTTGGTGATGTTACAATTCCTTTTGGAAGAACATAATAGTCCTTTGGTCCTAGTCAATAGCTATTAGCCAGGATGGGCAGAGATGGTGTCTGTAGCCCGTTTACCAAAAGCTAGGAGTGGGCAACAGGATCATTTGATGATGACTGTTTTGTTCATTCCCTCTGGGGCACCTGGCATTGGCCATTGTAGGAAGACAGGGTAATGGCTAGATCAGGGGTTCTCAAACTAGGTGACCCATCAGGGGGTCACAAGCTGTCAGACTCCACCCCAAACCCCGCTTCATCCCAGCATTTATAATACAGTTATAAATTAAATATACTGTTTTAATATATTTAAGGGGGGGGTCGCACTCAGAGGCTTGCTGTGTGAAAGGGGTCACTAGTACAAAAGTTTGAGAACCACTGGACTAGATGGACCTTTGGTCTGACCCGGTATAGCTGTTCTTATGTTCTTTGTTACGGCTCAGGAAAGCAGCTGCACTGTTTCTTTAAAAAGGCTGTGACCGGAGCCCTCTGCGCAGATCCTATGCCCCGAGTTTCAACTTCCTGCAAAATAGTGAGAGATGATTGCAAACGTAATTGTTGTGAGCCCAGATTCCTTTTCGCTGCAGCAGTGCGTGCTGCCCGCTCCTAACACGCTATTCCAGAACTCGTGCAGGGCTTGCAATGAATTAAAAGGTCTTAAAAACTATCTAAGGCACATCTCACTCACACAGCTGTATTGTGCCTTATATTTGTTCACAGACATCATTAGCAAAGTAACAGAGTAACTTGAGACTGAAAAGCAAACGGTTGTGTCCGGGGAGATGAAAGCGGCTATTGGCTTTGAAAGGAAAATGTGTATCTTGAAAGACACACACACACACTTCAGCCTGTATGATAAAATGGAGAACCCGAGATTAAGTCAGCAAATTGGATATTGCTTGGGAATAGGGAGTCGGCTTTGTAGTTGTTTTTTGGCTTACGAAACAGGTGCCTGCCCTACGCATCCTGAAAGCGCTAGCCATGCACACAATTACATGGTGGATGTCCAACGGGATATTGCAATTACCACATCCGAAATTGTCAAGCCGCGCTGGCTAGCGCGTTCCTCCTGCGGCTGGGCCGAGCGCGCGCCCCCTGCTCTTAGCACCCTCCCCACCTGTTCCCTCGGGCTCGCGCCGCTGGGCCGCGCGCAGTTCCTCGCCGCTCCCTCTCGGACTCAAACCAGTTGGCGCTGCGTAACCTGCTTCTCGCGCCCTTCGCTTCCTTGGGCTCGCGTCGCTCCTGGCCCGCCACCGCTAGCCTACAACCAGCTCCTCGCTCCGCCCCTCCCCAGACTCAAATCAAGTCTCTAGGCCGCGCCTCTCCCATTCCTCGCGCGCGCTCCCCACCCCAGCGGCGATCTGAAGCTGCTCTCCTCCCACCTACACGTCCTAGGGGCGGCGCCGCGGGGCGGAGCTGTTGCCGCTGTCATGGCGTCCTGGGCGCTGCTGGCGAAGGAACTGCCTCTGCGGAGCCAGTAGAGCGCTAGGCAGGCGGGCAGGCGGCGGGCCGGCCATGGAGAGCTTGGCGCAGCCCCCGCCGCCCCCGGGCGCGCTGAAGCGGGGCGGCGGGGGCGCTGCGGGCCGAATCATCCTGGAGGGGTCAGTGGAGGAAGAGGTGGCGGCTAACGGGGGTAGTGGCAGGGATGGACCCATCACTGCTGAGGAGGGCGGCGGACAGTGGGGTCCTTCCCCTCTGCTTCTTCCCCCGCCTGCTGCGGGCCCCGGGAGGGACTCTCCTTCCGCGCAGGGGTCTCCCGTGTCTGCCACTGAGAACCGCCGGTCCGCTGCGGACTGCGCGGAGCTAGCAGTGACTGAGAGCCCTGAGGCGGCTCCTGCCTTGGAGAGCGGCCCCGGGGAGGCCGGCAGCAGCGGTGACCCCAGCCCCCCAGAGGAGGAGTCGCGGAGCTTGGACTCCCTGGAGTCCTTCTCCAACCTGCACTCCTGCTGCCCGAGCAGCTCCGAGCTCAATAGCGATGCCGAGGAGGTGGCGTTGGCAGCTGAGGGCAAGGCCCCGAGCCCCGGAGGGGATGGGCCCACGGCGGCGGCTCAGCTCTTGTCTGCCTCTAAGGAGCGCTTTCCCGGCCAGTCGGTCTATCACATCAAGTGGGTCCGCTGGAAGGAGGAGAACACCCCGATCATCACCCAGAACGAGAACGGGCCCTGCCCGCTGCTGGCCATTATGAACGTGCTGCTGTTGGCTTGGAAGGTATCGTATCCCCCGGGCCGGGAGTAATTGACAATGTCTTTAGCTGTAGAAACGTACCTGAAGCTTCGCGCAGACACAGTTACAGTGTCTGTGATAGTGGAGATACGCACAGACCCGCACTACATATATCTCACTTTGTGTTGTGATTTGTATTCCTCTGGAAACGCACAAGATGCTTCACAAACCTAATAACTATTACTGTAGCCGTGGAAACATGCACAGCATTTCTATGATCACAAATCTTTATACAGTAGGGTGGAAACATATACGCAGCTATTTATGTTAGACCTATTACTACAGCATTAGAAACTACACCTCTTAAACGCAAGCCTATTATTGTTTATATGCTTTATATAGCACTTCTCATACCAAATGCTGGGAAAGTGCATGGGATCTTGCAAAACAGTTCTATTATTTGTGTAGCAGTGGCAATATAGGTAAGATTGTGTTTTATAAAGTGCTGCTATTACTTTTTAAATAGCAATAGTAATGTAGATGGTGCTTCACAAAACAAAAGCATAACAATGATATATTACTAGAAATATGTGTAGCAGTCTACTAAATAGAAATCTATTCTACAAATTCATGGTGATAGGAACATACGCAACAATTTGCAAAAAATAACCTGTTTTCAGGAGTGCTGGGCCTGTATATAGTTCTTTATAAAATGCCAACCTATTATTGCTGTTTGGCACATTGATAACGGGCATGGTGCTTTACAAAGCACATACCTAATAATAATTACTCGGCTGTAATTGTATGAAGCGTATTGTAAAGATCCAATATTATTTAGTATTATATATGCCAAGATTGTGCAAAGGACTGGGAACCAGAAACTCCCATGTTCTAATCCTGTCTTGAATAATGATTTCCACTGCAGCCTTGGATAAGTTATTTTAACTTCTGTCTCAATTTTCCCATCTATAAAATGGGGATAATCCTTATCTACAATTCATAGCATGGTGTTAGGATTAATATTTATAAGGAGATTTGAAAAGGAAGTAGACATTAATGCAAAGTAGTAATTTGCCTTCTGTTTTAAAACCAACCACAGTGGGTTTTTCCTCTCAAGAAAAGTCAATAATCTAACCCAAACAGATGCACCTGTTACCCCACATACTGTAAGATATTGTGACAGCTCAGGGCAATTGCATCTGTATTTCCCCTCATTGGTCCAGTGAAGGGCACCCACTCTGAGGCTTCTAGCTTCTCAGCCATTTCCTTTGTGAGTGGAGACTCCCCCCCCACCATGGTATTTCCAAGATGCACAGTTCTCTGCCTTCATTATGTTGTTTGCAGCACAGACAGAGGTTGCTTGAGGATAACAACTTGCTTTCTCTTCAGAGATGGTCAATGCTTGTAATTGACATAGTTATAAGTTACATGTTACATGTTCATTACAGCTTCAGCTCGGAACAAACACCCAGCCTTATGAGGCCTCAGCAGGCCCAGTCCTTCCATCCCTACCCTAAGGAATGGGGCCCTCTGTGGACCAGGGGACCTGGCTGTTTGCTCGATCAAGAAGGCGGCCTTGAACCAGTTTAAAACAAGGCTGTTTATTCTTTGTCTGTTGGTCCCTGGATAATCCATTTTGACCTAGTGCAAACCTCTCCAGATGGGTGGCTTCAAAGGGTTGATAACAGAAGAAGTACATTAGCATTCCCCATCCTTACTAGTGAAAGTACATACAAAGACACGATAATACACAATTGCATTCTTAATACACTGTACCCCAAAGGTCTTAACCCTCATTCAATAAGGTTAAACTTTACGGAATTAAGTTAATCTTAATTCCATAAGGTTTGTTCAGGATATTATCAGTCTATCACGAGTATCACTCAGGCAATCAGTACAGGAAGGCTTAGTGCAAGAAGTAGTTTTTTTGAGGAATTTGAATGAGCAAGGGAAAGATAGTTGGCACTCCTGGAGTGGGAGGCTGTTTCAAATGTAGCAGGTGACGTGAACAAAGAGCCAAAAGTGGTTAAGAGGTAGGTGTTGGGAACCTTCAGGATGTACAAATGTCAGTGGAGGTTTTACTATTGACTTAAATGGAAGCAGCATTGGGCCAAATATTCATACAGCTTCGCTACTGAAATGCAGATATCTTTGGCATGTAGGGTGGCAATCAGAATTGTACTATATTATACTTTCGTAGTTAGCAGTGAAATTTGGTGGGTCCAGAGTCCAGGGGCAAATACAATTCACCTTACAGTAAGTTCTGTGGGATCTTTAATGACCACAGAGAGCAGACAAGACTTGCATTTGACTCAGGGAAGATGTCAAAAAAACCCTCAGAGATCTTCAGTATTTTCATTGAAAAGCACAAACATCCTTCAGCTCCAGGTGGATATGATCTTACAAAGCAAAAACCTACTTTTAAAATTAACCCAGACTGTCTCCTTCTCTAGAGTGAAGTGTTTTCGTGCCGTATTTATATGATGAAACCCCAGATTAGGATGTTTGTATTAAGAAACCGTATTCTCCTACTAAATAGAGGGATTTTGTTTTAATTAGACAAAGATAAGTGTTGTTAATCCAACAATTATTGGTGGGTTTTTTTGGTAAAAATCATGAGGAAAGATACCTCCTAAATATAGTCTAGTCATATATTTCATTTCTCATTAGAAAGAAGGGTGCAGTCATTATGACTAGGGCTCCATGTCTATCACTGAGGTCGTGGAAGTCATGGAGTCCGTGACTTCTGCAGCAGCCAGTGTGGCTGACCCCACCGTCTGGCCGCACTGGGCGGCCTCGCAGCTGGCCGTACTTTTCTGCTTTTGACAAAACAGAGGGACGCACAGGAAATGAAGAGATAGGATAGTAAAAGGTGGGGGGAATATAGCTTTTTTTGTTGTTTTTTCGGATACAAGATGGCTAGTCAGTTATGGATGGATGCTTTGGGGCTGGCAGGTTGGCCACAACAGCTGTTGCTCTGGATCTGGCTTACCTCTCTGGTCAGGGATGTAATTTGCCTGGCCTTGTCAGATTCCTCTCCTTCACTGCTCCTTCTAAGGCTGGACAGACCTAGGTGGGCTGCCTCGTCTTGTCATGCTGGTGCTATGCGGTGCAGTTGGTCTTAGGATTGAGTGGAAAAGTTGAAACAGAAAAAGAGGACAGGAGGAAGATAGTGGAGGGATAAAAAGGGGGAACTCTGGGGGTTCCCATTGTGTGCCAGGATCTGGGTTTCACAACAAAAATTTTCCATTACTATCTCACCCCCCAAAGTCTCTTCTTAGGGACCTCAAAAATGGGATGTTGAGTGGAATAGCCCCTCCTCATTATTTTGTCCACCAATTAGGCTTAATTTTTGCAGCACCAAATTGGGTCTGTTGATTTCTGGTTCAATACTCATCTTGTTTACCAGAAGTGATCTTAACACAGTCCTTGGCTGGCCTTAGTAGACTGTCTTTTGCGTTTATTTTTAAACAATTTTATATAACAGATAATTGGGACAGTTTATGAACCTATACCTACTTTCCAGCAGTTAAACTCACAGTTGGAGTAGAACCTGTGATGCCCCAATTATTACAGTGTATAATATGTATGTATAATTAACTCTTAGACTCCACCCAAAATTGTACTTGATTTTTGTACACTATGATCATGTGCCCCTATGTATTTATTTGAGTGAACAGTGTAATCTCTGATTTTATAAATAAGGTAACAGTGTTTCCCTGAAAAATCCAAAGTCTCTCTAATTTCAGGGCCTATCCTAATATTCCTGTTAGTATTACAGAAGAGAGTTCTGTCCTGATTTATGTAAATCCCAGCAGATTGGCTACCTGAAGTAGCTGCTAGCCAGCTAAATTGATGAAACTGATTTCACACTGAGTGAGCATGCATGCATTTCAGAGACCTCCACTTAATTTATTGTACAGTAATATTGCCCCCCTACATTTAATTAAATCTCCTGGTTAATGTGCCCCTCCCCCCCACTTGCTTTACTTCCCCACCACCCCCTCCCAAACTATAATCAGATATATGTTGACCCTGGTGAGAGTGGCAAGCTTATTGGCAGCTGATCTTCACCACATTTGTATGTAGCTGGCTACTGATCCAGGCTGAGGATAGACGTCCACATTCTGCTCACTTTCCCTACACCATGGGTGAAAACTCCATTTGTGGCAGGGAATTGTGGGGATGGGAACAAGGGACTAAAGACTGAGAGTTAGGATAAAGAGATTGAGCGTACTGTGTGTGTTAGGGAGAGATATCATGAGGTATCTAGAGCGGAAATACAGAGCAGAATGCAGCAAGGATGTAGGGAGAAGAAAAAGTGGGGGGAGAGGGAAGAAAGATTAAAATATAGAGAATAGAACAGTGATCTCTCTGCTCCTTTCCTCACCCACCAAACCCTTTACCTCCATAGGTGTTTGTGTTTACCTTGAAAATCTGGTCACCCTATAGACAAACATGTTATGGTCTCAAACATTTACAGCAACTCTGAGTAAGGGGTATGTCATGGTTACAGGGCTAACAGCGTCTCTGTGCCTTTTTTGAGTGCATCCCCTCAGGTGACTTGTGCTTTTACCTATCCTGGGGTGGAATTCCACAACTCTCCAACTCTTAAAGTAGACACAGGATATTGTAGCCCTGGGTATCAACTGTTCTTACCTAGCAGGTCTGACTGACTTCATACTCTTGTGGTTCTTCCTTTCAGGAGTCTGAACAGAAGCATATGGTGATCAGACTTCTTAAAACCAATGTATTATTTATTTTAGCAATAAGAGCAAAACATTTAGAAAAGAAGATTTTAAAACAGTTAACACCCATGCCTAATTTACCTAAAGGCCTACCATCCTCTGACGGTAATCTGGGTACGCCTAACTTCTTCAGGCACCCCATCCTGTCTCTCTAGTCCCTCCCCTTGATAATTACCCGATTCTCTTGGGAATGTTCCTTTAACATGCCAGAAGTCTTTCATGTCCTGTGCTTACAGGAGTTTTGTGGATTAGCTGCAGAGGGGGCAAAATCTTCAAAGTTAATCATGGCATTGTTCC